TCACATTAAAACTGAATTGTGAACAATAAATGTTATGAATACGAAATATATTAAATGATCAATAAAATGGATGTTTATTACGAGACCCGAAATGTACTGCCGTCTCAACATAATTGTGGTATCAGTTTAGGTGATTTAATGGGTACGCTGTGTCCCAATCCAAGACACCCCATATTATTATTACCATAACCATAAACTAAATCGTTTTTTGTCACAAACAATACGTTATATTTACTTTGATCATTTCCGAAAATGTGTAACTTTACAATCTTTTCAGAAATACTCAATATTTTGTCACATATTTCAAAATTATTCAGCAATTCAGACATTTTACAAAAGTTATTTAATTTACAATAATTAATATATAAGTTATCACTTCAATCACATAATAAAAGTATGTACATATGAATTTACTAATATAAAATAAAGTTTTATATACGTATTTATATTATTATATTAACCTTATATATTATCACATTTTGAATAAATACTAAAGGTCATCAATTAAACATGATACATTTGTGGACAAATAAAACTAATAAATACAATTTAAAATATTGTACTAATTAAAAAAGAATTAGATGTGGAGATATTTCAAAATTTATTTTAAACCCTTTATAGTTTTTAAATTGTCAATAGCAAAATTTTAATTAATGTTAATTCTATGGCTACATAAGAAGGCTCTCATATGTTTAACATAATATATTTCTATACGATTACATATTTAGTCTATTGCAATAGTTTAACATGAGTAATGTTAATCCTATGAGCAGTCCTAAGTCAATAAGTCTAAAGATATATATTCGACAAATATTTAAAACTATCTATATAAAAATCTTACAAGTAATTTAACAATAGCATTTAAATATTTGAAATTTTTTATACATATAACAAATAACATCAATGTAATTCTTGTTTAATTAGTAAAATAGAATATTTAAAATTGTGTACCATAGTTTTGTTTGTCCCTGACTGTATTTAAGCATATAAAAATGTCCACTTATAAATCGATGCGTTTTAATAATTACTATCTTCAAATAAGATTTTTTAAAAATCACTATCGTTACTATTATTGATTTAATATAATACGGATTATATGAAAGTATTGTCATGTGAATTGTGATAAAATACTAAACATGTAGCATTAAACATAAATTTCATATTTTTAACATAAAGACATTGTATTATAATTTATATTTATTGTAATTTAAGTATTTGTTATAATCATCTTATATAATATATATTACTAAAATATAATATTAATATATCAGCATTTTATCGTTATTGGTAACCATGATAATTAATTCATCATTGTGTGTGTGCAACTAAATAATAATAAATAATATTAATTGTTAATAAATATTGAATTTAATTATTTATTATATGTTATAATAATATACATTATTGTATAATAATAATGTTATATGTTTAAAATAAACTTGTTTCATTAAAGATATAAAATTAGATGTCGATAAATTGGGAAAATAACACAAATTATCATTAATATTTAAACCGTATATATTATTACGTAACAAGTAGTGAACATTTATCAGAACCAATCAGGATGGAAAAGAAAGTTAAAACATACCATATTACCATGTTTAAAGGCATGCAACTCGATTCGGAGAAGTTGACCAATGAGTTTACCGATGAATTGGGGCCGATAGGGGGCGGAGGGTTTGGTATTGTGACAAAAGCCCGCAACAGGTTTGACCAGAAAGAGTATGCCATTAAAAAAATCAAAATTTATGGTAAGAATATTTGTGATTTATTTATAAATAATAACAAATTATATTAAATATAATTGCTATTAAAATTACCAGATGTCTACTAGTGATCGAAATGTTGGTGCCGGTGCCGCGGCACTGGAACGGCACCGGCACCAGTTCTGACTGTACCGGCACTGAACCGGCACCATTTAATTTTGTATTTTTTAGCATTTTTAACTAAAATTAAATCAAAAATTAAGTTATTTTATTCAAATGTGTTGTTATTTTAAATAATTATATAAATACAGCGAAATTGCATGTTTTATGTCTGTGAAAGTGACAAATAACATGTCTGCACAGGCTCTATCGGCACCGGCACCACCGACATTACCGGCACTACCGGCACCACCGGCACTAGCGGCACTTAGGCGGCACCGGCACCGGCACTAAGGGCCGTTAATTAAAGCGGCACTGGTACGGCACCGGCACTCAAAAATTAGAATTTTTTGATCACTAATGTCTACCATCTAGCAAACATAGTAAGACAACGTACAATGTGGGTCAAACTAGAAACCGATCATTTTGTTAAGTACCGGAGCTCATGGCTAGAGTTGTGCGACGACAGGACTGACGCACAATTTGAAAAATATGAACAATGTAACATTGGGCGCACAATAACAACCGACGAACTAGATAATATTGATAAAAATGATAACACCGAGATCATAATACATCCCAAACAGTACGCTATACTACATTTACAGATGGAGTTGTGTTGGTTTACTCTCAGGGAGGCGATGGAAATGTGCCGCAAATATCTAGCAATTGCTGGCCACTCGACCCAACCCCTGCCACCCATTGGTTATTTTATAGCAAGTGAATTGCTCCACGAAATATTGACCAGCATCAATTATTTACACCAATCAAAACCTGAGCCCATATTGCATCGTGATATTAATGTAAATAATATACTGATCAAGAGCGGTGCTGATGGGAATTTTACCAAGATCTCTGACTATGGGTGTTCTATTGAACATATATTAATTAAAACAAAGAATAGTATTGAGAAAATACGATATACGGCGCCGGAAGTTTATATTGGTAAATATGACACCAAAGCCGATGTCTATAGCATAGGTGTTACCGTCCAGGATATGTTTTATCTTGATATTAATTCGTGAGTTTTTTTTATTCATTTATAAAAATATTCAATTCATTAAGGTAAAAATTTTAATTATTTTGTAAAATAATAGGAAACTAGAGTTGACGGGAAAATACAAGAATTTATTTGAATTATCAATTAAATCAATTAACGGTATGAGACATCGGCGGCCGACGTGTGCCGACTGGTTGGCCAATAAATACGAGTGGAGTCTAGACTACGCGGAAGTGAGGCATCAGATTGAAGACACCATTGATTTGTCCAAACATTATGATTATATTGGGTCATTTGGAAATGTTCAGGCCTAACTGCTTTCTAGTGTAGATAATATTATGAAAATTGTATCATAATTTAAGTTAACATTCTTAGGCACCAGAAACTAAGTTTCATTAAGATTGGGTGATTAGGCGTTATACTGGAAATTTTTAAAATGTGTCAGTCGGATATATTTTTACAAATTTGTAAAAAATTATTTGGTGAAAAATTATTACATTTTTAAAGTTAAAATATTTTTACAAAATACATGTTTAAAGTGATAATTTAGTTATTGAGATTCACAATTAGTTATCCTACAATAGTTTTAAGAAGATTTCATGACATCAACTATAATGGAAATCAAATGCGAACCGACCGAACACAGGCCGCCAATCGGGTTGACTACCGATAAAGATTTGGCCACAGCTGGGGTATCGGTCAATGTTGGCCATTGAATAGCATATCATTAGATTCATTAAATGAAAATAATCTAATATACAATAATTATTTTACAGTTTTCTACATAAATGGTTAACAGAGACTAGATTGCTATTTCGGAAAGATAGGCCATATCATTAGATTCATTAAATATGGGAGATTTCAGAAGAGTAAGGGTTTTGTATTATCTTTATTATTGTTTAAGCATGATCAATTTTAGTCTAAAATCACACGTCAATAAATGCCGAAATAGCTACTCTCCCATAGGAATACATTATTTTGGCGGGTGTCAGATAAAGTATTCCTGTGCAATAACTATTGATGTGAATTTTATGAAACTTGGTTTCTAGAGGTTTAGAATGTTAACTTAAATTATGAAACCATTTTCATAATTCTTACTACACTAGAAGACAGTTAGGCCTGATGATTGTCAAATGACCTAATAATAAGGATTTTGTTTTGTTGTTTCTTCAGACAAAGTATAAATTAAACGAACATAAGTAATAATAAATAAAGTTATATTTTACATGTAATAACAACTTTATGTAATAACTGTTATCTAAAAATGTTTAAAAAAGTAAAATGTTGTTTAATTTTAATATTTAACTGTATAGATGCGATGTTTTAACAATTTATTAAAGGGGCCCAAAAAAGAGACTAAATTGAACCGAATGTTTACCCACGAGGTCAGAGTGATCAGTGCATTACAGTGCTGTGAGTGTTTACATTGTGTCCACAATTAATGTCAATAATAGTAAATATGATTATAACCAAGAGTTTGTGAACAATATAAATATAATGAAATTTGCTGAACAAAATTATTGATGATTGAATTTCAAATAAATTAAATTTGAATGTAACTTTTATTTTTCTTATTACTTAAATAAATGTGTAACTAATTATAAATAATTAATTGCAAATAACAAAAATAGTGCAAATATTATAATTTGTCTCAAGAATAAACTCTAACCAATCAGCGAACCGAAAGGACCGGAGAGGGAGTGTGCCACGTTAAAAAATTCTCTTGGTACAAATTTTGTGAGAATTTTCGGTGTCTTATCCACATTGACCAGTGCTCTGTAGGCCATCACCGGGATCGATTTAAATGTGATAGTTAAATTGGCGTTGTTTGTTTTGGGCCAAGGGCATGTAGTATTACCCCCAAAAGGTAATGTGAACGCCCACAGGCCATTCACTGCCCCTATGAATTTCACATCATAATCTGGCCTATCTTTCCGAAATAGCAATCTAGTCTCTGTTAACCATTTATGTAGAAAACTGTAAAATAATTATTGTATATTAGATTATTTTCTAACAAGCAAGGTGCACAAGGTTATTTGGTCTAAAATGTACGGCTGCATTATTTAACAAATAGCACTGACCAAATTATTACAGTGCTTCCCATAAAACAATTTTAAACAGTCCCCCTTAAAGTGCTAGCGCACATAAATACACACATACCAAAGCACATGGCCCGCTGTATAGGCGGTGCCGGGTTGGGCGGCCTCGGTGAGCACCATGGTCAAACGCTTACGGATGGGCACCATAAGCGGGGTCTTGGCGTTCTGTTCCTTAATAAAGTCCAAGATGATTTCCATGCCAAAGCCGGGACCTTTGGTAAATGTTTCGCACCATATATGCAAGAATGGAAACAACGAGTTCATTGACTCCATGAGCCCCGTGGCTATAAAGCTAGAGCCGTAGTGTTCGTAAAAGTAGTCCCGTATCTGTTGAACAAACGGGGTTCGGCTTCTAGTGTGTTGAAATGCATTACGGTAACTTAAAACTTTTTAGTAAAGTAACTTTTTTAGTTTAGTATAGTAAATATAATTGTTATTCAACGTGGGATTTTATTTGTTTGTGTTTGTTTTTTAAATAGATCTAGATTGAATAGTTACTCGTACAGTGGGCAGTATCTATCGAGGGCTGATTTTTGATCCGTAATATTTGTGAGATCGCCGTCGCCAAAACTATAGCCGTACCATAAATACTCGTCGTATTGCTTCTCGGTCCACTCCACCTTTGCACCATTTAATATATTAACATCTAGGTAGAAATGTTAACTAGTTTAAACATTGTATAAAATATGTGTTTATATATAATAATTACAAACTCCATTTTAATGCTAACTTATTCACATTATTTACAATTAATTGATAATTATGTCATGAATAAAGTAATTAAAATAATGATAGTAACAAAACTTACAAGATATAATTAGTAAAATAATAATCATATTCATATTTGTTCAGGTATGAAACCAACAAAACTAATACAATACAATTAATACAACAACAATTTTAAATAAATAAAATATTAAAAAGTTAATAATATGTTTGCTAAATTAAAAATACATGTATATTTATTTTATGATACCTATAGTTAGATTTTGTAGTATTATTTAATTAATTTTGAAATTATTAATTATAATATTTAATGTAACATAAAGTTTGTATTTTAAAAATTATTTTAAAATAAATTAAACAAAATATTTTACTTTAAAATAAGGCATTTTAAAAGGCATAATTAAATTGATCAAAATACATAACAAAATCTAATTAATTTTAATTAACTTTAAACTTTATTAATTATAATAAAAATTCATTACATTTGTTAAATAAAATGCCCTTTATTAATAAATTTATTGATTATCTAGATTCTAGAACAACTAACTAGAGTGTTTGTCGATGAGGTCCGAGTGGTCGCTGTCTTACAGTGCTGTGAGGGCTCACATCGTGTCCACAATTGATGTCAATAATAGTGGTTATGATTATAACCAAGAGTTTGTGGAATAGGTTTTGTGGGAAAAATATAATAAAATTCTCTAAACAAAATTCACAATGATTGAGTATCAAATAAATTGAATTTACTTTAACTTTTATTGTGTTTTTTTTTGTTATTTCATTAAGTATTTAACTAATTATAAATAATAAATTACAAATAACAACAATAGTACCAATATTTTAATTAAACACACAAATAAACTCTAACCAATCAACAAACCAATAGGGGCGGAGAAGGCATGGGCCACGTCAAATGCTTGTCTTGGTATAAATTTTGTGAAAACCCTTGGTGTCTTATCTACATTGACCAGTGCTCTGAACGCCATCACCGCGATTGATTTAAATGTGATTGTCAAATTGGCGTTGCTCGTTTTGGGCCAAGGGCACGTGGTATTACCCGCGTAAGGTAGTGTGAACGCCCACAGGCCATTCACCATTGCTATAAATTTTAAATCATAATCTGGCCTATTTTTCGGAAATAGTATTCTAGTCTCTGTTAACCATTTATGGAGAAAACTGCAAAATAATTAGTATATAAATATAAGTAGTTTATGATTATGAGTTTTAATAAGGAAAACTATTCTTAGAGTGTTATTCCAATGTAAAACTCATTTATGACAAGAATTTTAAAATATTTTTAACTTATTAAAACATTTATTTTTGTCATTTTTATATTAAATACTATGAATTAGTTTAAACATTAGAGTCTATGGCTAAAAATGTTGTAGATGATGTTCTATATGTCGATTAGATTAAATAAAAATAATTTGGGATAAATATAAATCTAATAAATATGTATCTGCTTGATAGGCTATGGGATGGGGTTTTGATGTAATTCCTATGTGTTAGCCCATGAAAGTTAATTGATTAGTATGCCGCAAAACATGTGGCAATAATGCCACTTTCTAATGCAAGTATAATTTAAACTCTCCTCCCAGAGGCGCCAATTGGGATATCAGTCTGGGATATTTGCCTTAAATGAACGTTGGTCTAGATTATGTATGGTCAGGGAAGCTGTAGGGCAGCGTTTCTACGCAAGTTTACATTGAGTCCTATGTTTTCTGCCCATCCATAGTCTAAATTATCGTTTGCTTAGCAGGATACTTTAAATATTATTATATTGAAAAATGTAAATATTTTTATAATAAAATAAAGTGTGCTAACACACAAAAAAACACACCAAAACACATGGCCCACTGTATAGGCGGTGCCGGGCTGGGCGGCCTCGGTGAGCACCATGGTCAAACGCTTACGGATGGGCACCATAAGGGGGGTCTTGTTGTTCTGTTCCCTAATAAAGTCCAAGAGCTCATTCACGCCGATATCGGAGCCCGTGTTTAATATTTCGCACCATAGATGCAACACTGGAAACAACGAGTTCATTGACTCCATGAGGGCAGTGGCCATAAAGCTCGAGCCGTAGTGCTCGTAAAAGTAGTCACGTAACTTTTTAACAAACGGTGTTTTGCTCCTGGTAGGTTAAAACAATATAGTATATATATTTGTATAAGTACTCAAGGTATGATTTTAATTGTGCGTGTTAAACAATGCTAAATTATAGTTACATTGGACAATGTCTATCGATAGCTGATTTTCTATCGGTAATAAGTGGAATGTCTGCGTCACCAAAAGTATAGCCGTACCAAAAATGCTCGTCGTATTGCTTCTCGGTCCACTCCTCACTATTTAATATATCAGTATCTAGGTAAACATTTTAACCAGCTTAAACAATGTATTAAATATGTTCATAGATATATTGATGCCAAACTACGAAAATTTTACTACTAAGTTATGCACATTATTTAAGATTAATTAGCAATTATTTCATGAATATAGCAATCAAAATAAAGGTAGTAATAAAACTTACGAGATATAACAATTAAAATAATAATCATATTCATATTTGTTAAGGTATGATACCAACAAAACTAATACAACAACAATTTTAAATTAATAAAATATTATAAAGTTAATTATATGTTTGCTTAATTAAAAGTACATGTAAATTTATTTTATAATACTTATGGTTAGATTTTGTAGTATTTTTTAATTAATACATCTGCAGTCATGTCTGTGGTAAAAATGTTTGTTTATAAAGTACACTCTACTCTACATACTGCACTCTCTACTGTGTATATACTGTACATAAATAATACATTATTGTATTAAATTAATTTAGTATACATACATGTATGTATGTACATTATGTATGTACATTATAAAGTGTATGTGTACTTTATTTTAAAAACATATTTACTTGATTCAATGTTTAGTGCCATTATGGCACATAAATTACATGCAAACATATTTATTATGTTTTATTTATTTATCAATTATCATGAAATATTGGGCACAAATGGCCAACGAGTTAATCGTTCAAATAAACTCTCAAATCATTACAAAAGCTTAGACAACGAGGACTTGTAAGTGATTTGTATAGTACATGTCATATATAAGTTATACATGTATTGTTTTTAAAAATGAATACTAACTGTTATAGATTGTAATCATCATGACTTAAAATGTTGTCGCACTATATTGTAGTCTAAGAATGAATGCACTGGTCAGAGAGCACCAGCCCTTGGATTTTAGTCCGTCGTTGCCTGACTTTAATCCGACCGCAAGCGTATTACAAGCAATACAGAGTGTCGGCCGGAATGAGCACTTGTATGGCGCGCACCCAACGCCGAGTGACTGTAGGGGCGAACCCCGACTCCGGGCGGAGTTGAGCCAACTTTTTTCGCCTCTAATGAGACGGACGATAGACGCGGACAACGAGATTGTGGTGACGAACGGCGCGATACAGGCCTTGTATTTAGCGGCCAAGAGTTTCCTAAAGCCCGGCGACGAAGTGATACTTTTTGAGCCATTTTACCACGAATTTCATGCGATGCTTCATGTAATTCAAGCCTCGCCTGTGGCCGTACCTCTTAGGACAAGCGATGGCCAAACGGCCCGACAATCAAATGATTTAACGTACGATAGGCAGCAATTGGTGGCCGCCTATACTAATAGGACCAAAATGTTTTACCTTAATAATCCTACCGGAAAGGTATTGTAAAGTTTTACATATACTATTGTATATATCTTAGTTTGCTTTCAATGTATTTGTATTTTTCACAGACTTTCACTGAAGAGGAGCTGCTATTTATCGGACAGTTGTGCGAAAAACACGACGTGATTATACTGGCGGACGACGCCTACCAGTTCCACAACTACGGCGTTCAGCCGCACATTAGAATCGGTGACCATAATTATGATAATTACCATAATGTCTATTATCAACATTACAGATATTAGTAATATCATTTTACACAGTAATAAATAATACTACAGATATTAGCTGTTTGAATAAATAGGTAACTGAAAAATTATTTAATTTACTTAAATGACAGCAACTTTGCCGGGAATGTGGAAACGGACGCTAACTGTGGGCTCAGGCGGGAAAGCGTTTTACCTAAACAGTTGGCGCTTGGGTTGGCTCATCGGACTCGAAGAGCTGCTGCGGTCTATACGCGTACGACTGTATTACTCGATTCAATCGGTGCCGCGCGTCGGCCAACTGGTGCTGAGGGCTATTATTGAGACGGAAACCCTTAGACTAAACACCAATGACTCGTATTTCAGTCGGTGTCCAACGGAAATGCTGCGCAAAAGGGACCGCTTTATAGCGGCCTTTGACGGTACGGGCGTTGATGTAATCAAACCAAACGCCGGTTACGTATTGATCGCTAACTTTTCAAATGTAATCAATAAAATTGATTTGTCGTTAGAAAAGGATACGAAACAAGGATTGCGTTTAACTTATTATTTCATTAAACAAATGGTTGTTATGAAACATTGCATTTTAAATGTATTATGGTAATTAATAACTTATACAGTATTGTTTTGTTATGTACAGAAACTATGGACAAATCCGGGACAAAACTATTATAGCAAACAACACAAACATTTGGCTCAATATGTGTTGAGGTTTTGCTTTTTAAAAACTGATGATTCGCTCCACAAGTATAGAGCGATTATTAAATCATTATTTAAATAACGTATTGTAGGGCTAAATGTGATTTGATTTGAATAACATTTTTACATTGCTGAATTGAATTAAATATTTTCATTATAATTAAATTACAATATTTGCATTATTATTATTTATTTTGATAGTGTTTAGTGATTTTCAAAAACATAAACAATAGAAATGCGGTTATCTATTGGACAAAATAAATACATTAAATATAATGTTAGTTANTAATTAAATTACAATATTTGCATTATTATTATTTATTTTGATAGTGTTTAGTGATTTTCAAAAACATAAACAATAGAAATGCGGTTATCTATTGGACAAAATAAATACATTAAATATAATGTTAGTTACATTTATAACGTTTGTGCAAAAAAGTACCTCATAAACACGTATTTAATTTATTACAAATAATTTCCAACATGAAAAGCCCACCTCATTTTTACCAAGGTATTCTATTAAAGACAATAACTGCTGACAATGGAAGTGAAATTCGTTAAACAAAATTAGTGATGCTTTAATTTCAAATAAATTCAAAATAAATAAACTTATACTGTTATTTGTTAGATCATTAAATATTTAAATAATTAATTACAAATAACAATAATTATACCAAAATATTTTAATTTGCCAGCCGAAGTGCTAGAACAGAATAAACACATACTAAAACAAATGGGTAAATTTATATTTGGTGCCGGTCTGGGTGGCCTCGGCGAGTACCATGGTCAAACGCTTACGAATCGGCACCATAAACCAGATTGTGGCGTAAATAACTGAACATTAAATTTATTTTGTAATAAATATATTCACTATAAAAAGTAGAATAATTTTTAGAAGAAAATTGTCTCGTGTTTAAGTATAGTATAATTATACTGGACTTAAACTGTATCAACTAATAATCAATTTGAGGTTTGTACAAACGTGTGATTCAAAAATATAAAATAGATAAAAATAAATGGTTAGAAATAAAATTTTTAAACATACATATGTATATAATATGCAAAAACTTTTCAAAATATTTAATTAGTCAATTAATGTCTTTGCTAAAATTTAAATCATGTTTTGTATACACTTTACGGTAGGCATAGAGACGTCTCTTTTGTGACAAACATTGAAACAATAGGAATGTTATAATAAACCATAGGATTATCGCCACCGCAAGGATTAACGAATTAGAGTGTCCTAAAAGCGACAATAATAGCTGTATTAGATAGCGAACAAAGCATGCATAACACAATAATCACGAGCTTTAGCCCCATGTTGACATACGTTTCAATCCGTCTCAATTCATATTATAAACATTAAGATAGCTCAGAATAATAGCCATAGTTTAAATCAATCATGTTTAATCTTACAATGTCTGGGCCGGTGGTAATGGTATAGTTATTTTAGGCACAGGGATTGCGGTCCAATTGCCCTGAAATAATTGTTATAACATGATAATTAATGATAGTACCACGATAAAAAACTTTTAAACATACGGGATAACTATCACCAGACAATTGTTCGCACCTCTCGGAAATGGGTGGCCTATTGTCATACAATTGCTGCTCACTATACGACATAT